CATTGCAGCCCTACAACGAATGCCATTATGGGTCTCACGTTCGCCTCTTACGTACTTCAGCCCTTCTTCCAAAATGAATGCAGCATACCGGAGAGCGCCCTACAACTACTCTCTGCGGTAGCAATATGCTTCTTAACCTACCTGAATTGTTGTTACATGAAAGCTACTACGAAAATGCAAAATATAATTATGTTTACTAAAATTGGCGCGTTGTTATTAATCATTATTTTGGGTGTGGCTTGGATGAGTTTTGGTATGTTTAGATAAATTGTATGCGTTCAGGAAAATTGAATTTTTTAATTGATTTTGGTAAACTTTTTTTTGTTTTTTTAGGTAACGTTGAGAACTTTGCAGACCCCTTCGAAAATACAGAAACCGATCCTGGCAAGCTATCCGTTGCCTTCTATTCGGGTATTTTTTCATATTCCGGTTGGAGTTATTTAAATTTCATGACAGAGGAATTACGTGACCCATATAAAAATTTGCCGCGCGCTATTTATATTTCTCTGCCATTGGTGACGGGAATTTATGTGCTCGCTAATATGGCCTACTTGGCTGTATTATCGCCGGCAGAAATGATTGCCTCCGATGCGATCGCAGTGGTGCGTATGCGGACTGAATAATTATTTTTGAATGTACTAATTAGGCTATTTTTACGTTTAATAAATCCATTCCTTTACTTTCAGTCCTTTGGAGATCGTGTACTGGGCGTATGGTCTTTCATTATACCCATAATGGTGGCGATATCCGCTTTTGGTGGTCTCTCGGTGCATATAATGACTTCTTCACGCATGTGTTTTGTGGGCGCACGTAACGGTCATATGCCGGCGATCTTGTCAAATATAAGTGTGGAGCAATTTACGCCGGTGCCATCACTTGTGTTTTTGGTAATTTAACTGCGATTTATTTCGTTGCTCTACATACTTACATATGCATGTATATTATGAATAATGCGTGTGTGTCTTGACTTAAAGGGGACAAGACATTCAAGCTCTAATTTATATACTTTTGTATACAGTTCGCTTAGAATGATATAAATATGTATGTACATTAGACATACCAAAAAGTATTTTTGTAAGGCAATTTCTATTTTTTTTTTGTCGAGCGTAAGGGCTACCCTTTTACATTTATCGCCAGATCTTCGGCATTTGCAGTCAGAGATTAAGGTAAGGTAAGCTCGAGGATAATTTTTTTTTTATTCCAAAGTTCATTGGTTTCAAGTATTCCGGTCTAGAGCTTTTCTTCAAGATCACAGTTCCTACCGCCTACTTTCAGTAAATTAAAGCTGGTCAAAAATCATTAGACTTTTGTTCAGGATTATTCCAGTGGAACTAGGTAATATGTAGGCATCACCGAGAAATGTAAAAGGCGGGGATCGTAATGGTTTTCCATTTTGTTGATGATTATTTACCGAGTTTTTTTTTAATAAAACATAATTGTTTTTTGCTCAGAAACCAAAAGTTGCTTCTGGTGTTTTTCTTATGGAATGGGCTAAGCAAAAAAAAAGATTATTTTCTGAGCAATAAATAAAACTGAAAAAATAATTCAATAGAACTAAACACATTTTTTAATATAACTTAAAAATAAAAAAAATTTGTGCCTTTCTCTTTCAACATGATTTTTTGAATTGAAATTTAAAAAAAAAATATCATTATGTGCGGTTCCTGGTAAAAGGCAACACCTAGGTTCGACAGAAAAACAATCTGTTTTTTTTTTTGAAATTACCTTTCAAAAATTTTTTTTACTCGACGGTGTAAGACAAACTATTGGTGGTGCGGTCTAATGTACATATGTACATACATAAATATACATATACAGTGGTCCACAAAATAATAGGAGTGCGTTATTTTGGTCAGTTTTTGCTATTTGCCTTTTGTTTATTTAATGTTTATTATTTTTATACAAAAGTCAAGCTGGGTATACAACAAACAACGAATAAATTCAGATTTCAACCTTTGTACAAAAATTATTAAAATTCTGTAAATTTTCACCAAAATATCAAACTTTTTAATCAGAATCTTCAGAGAAAATTCTGGTATGCAGTTTTATAGCCCATTCAATTCTAGTCTAAAGAAGTGCAAGTTTAAAGCTGCTAAAAAATTCCGTTGATTTTTGGCAATTTTTTTTGCTGGCACTGTCCCCATATAAAAGAAAATTGTCGAACATACTTTGTATGGAAAAAACGTGAAACACCTTCAACCGAAAAAATTCTCAAAAATCAACAGAATTTTTTAGCAGCTTGAAACTTGCACTTCTTCAGACTAGAATTGAATGGGCTACAAAACTGCATACCAACATATTTTCTAAAGATTCTGGTTAAATAGTTTGAAATTTTGGTGAAAATTTGCAGAGTTTTTATAATTTTTGTACAAACTTGAAAATGTAAATTTATATGGTGTTTGTTGTATTACCAGCTAGGCTTTTACAAAAAAATACGAAACATTAAATAAACTAAAGACAAATAGCCAAAACAGGTTAAAATATCCCACTCCTATTATTTTGTGGACAACTGTATGTAATATAAATCTCTTTATACGCCCTAATCTATTGCAGTGCATCTTGTCGATTATAATGCTAGTCGTGAGCGATGTTTACGTGCTCATAACTTACAGCAGCATAGTGGAGTCGTTTTTCATAATGCTGTCAGTATCGGCGTTACTCTATTTACGCTATACCCGCCCCAATATGGAGCGTCCAATTAAGGTAATTTTCACTTTACACTAGTAGGTACATATGTATGTATGTATGTCTATGCCAATGGCAATCATTAAATTATTCAATCTCTCATAATTTATGCATTTAGGTCTCACTCGGGATACCTGTCATCTTTGTGGTTCTTTGTGCCTTTCTTGTGGTCGTGCCTATCTATGTGGCGCCCTATGAAGTTGGTATGGGCGTGCTGATAACAGTTATAGGTGTGCCATTCTACTACGTCGGTGTAGTGTGGAAAAATAAGCCGAAGTGTTTTCAAAGTGCAATTAGTGCGTATTCCATAAATTGTGCAATAATAACTACATATCTACATACAAACAAATGCACGTTAATTAATCGATTTATATCTTTTGTTCATTTGCAGACCATTTTACATACGCGTGCCAAAGAATGTTTATGTCAGCCAAAGAAGAGAAAGTTGAATGATTCATTGACTATTGTGCCAAAACAATAACCATCGTTTAAGTTTTTTCTTTTGCCAGCTATTATCATATTTATTACTTCATTCATAAGAACTAATCAATACTCATTACCCATTTCTTAGTTTCTTTATATATTTACGTGTATTTGAAACGAATGTGTAATAAGTAAGAAAGTTATAAAACTATAAAGACTTATGGCCATATTCATAGAACATTAAATAGATTCAAATTACATTGCAAATTAATTTTAATTTTAAGAAGTTAGGTGTTCAAATTTATAACACAATTTACACTTTATAAATTATAGCATTTTTAAATTCTTAAAAAATCCCAGTCATAAAATAAATTTTAGCTTAAGTAGTAATGCTTAAACAGATTTAACTAATACCAATTTATCATTGCCATACATCACAGCTACATAAAACATACTTAGTAAAAACTGAATTATTTACAAGCGTTCCTAAATATCGACAACTGTCATAAACAATATTTAATAAGAAAATGTGTTGAATTTTTTTTGATTTAAAAATATTCTTAAAAACAAAAAAATAATGACCAGATATGTATATACATACATATGTATGTAACATTTGATTTATGTAAAAACACTGAATTATTATCCACAAAAAATTTACACTCTTGTTTACACAGTAAGCCTACGCATTTGAGATTTACATGCAGCTATTTTTAAAACTTTATTGGTTGCAAAGTGAACAAATGTAAATTTACTAATTGACACCATGTTCTGACCGACAACGAAAACACCTTGAAAACGAGTTTTGGGATTGTGGGCTGAAGGCTGTTCACAACGTCTGTTGGTGTTTTCGTTGACATTTCTTTCATCCTTTGTTTACAGTTTTGCTACACAAAAACAAAACCAAAATACTTTTCCTGCAATTTCTTTTCATTACAACATTTTACTTCCATGCTTACTTTATTTTGGCCAGCCAATTAACAATAAATCCGAAATGACGTATTAAAGATGATAAAATGTGACTTCCACTTCGATAAATAATCGAAAAAAAAACTAGTGCAGACGCCGATTGGAATGAGTGGAACGTGAATTTTCAAAGGGTTTTCAGCGAAAACTAGTTTTCGTTTGACAGATTTTACATGGACGAAAACACAAGTTTTAGGTCGAAAACCAGTTTTACCAACGAAAACATGTTTTCGATGTCGGTCAGAACATGGTATGAGATAAGTTAAAGGTTTTGCCGCTGATATCTAACTAATATTACAATATAATAGACAACATATACTTTTTATCTTAATAAAGACGTTTAGTACAATTACTAAGAAACTGCTAAAATAATAGTACGACATTTAATATTAGCACTTGTAAAATCAATAATATAAGTTTGAAATTTGCTTTTACAGTGTAGTTTTGTTATAACTCCAACTTAAAATGCATTTTATCTAACCTATTATTTAACATTAACAAATACTCTAAAAACCGTTATTAAAAAGCATCAAAAAAATTAACATTGAATTTGAATTTTAAACCCGGGCAGATTAAGTTGGTCTGTGTCGTATGGCTGCCCAGAGAGAAGGATCGAGCGGAGACGCTTATGTCTTGGTGATAGAAAAACGATGCGTGCTCTCCATAAAGTTCCACAATCAACTAATATCTATTCCCGAAATCTTATCAGCGTTGAGGTTATGTTGACCCTTTCCGTATGGATTCAAATCGAACAGTGAATGGCCAGTAATGGTCTGATTATGAATACTTCGCATAACTTCGCACACCTTCGCATAAACTTCAAACTGTAATTTCGTATGTAATTTGTATGAATTTGGTATGTGTTCCATTCCCCAGAAATTAACAGAACTTTTAAAAACTTAGCGATCAACAGGAGTTTAGATTTTGCTTCATATTTTCTTATGTTCTAATTTTTATTGCACTGGTACAAATGGTTGTGCGAAGTTATGCGAAGTATGCATAATCAGACCCTTAGGACTTCCGACAGTTTCAGTTTTGTTGACTTTTTTTTGTAGTTAATTAGACCGTCGCCGATATATTCATGACCAGAAGGAATTAGTCACCTCGCATTCCAAAATTATCGCCCAACGTTCGCTGAGCTTACTAGACTCTGGTACCATGACATAACTGCAAGTGGCATAGCTCCAATTTTAAAATTTGGAATTATGTCACTCCTTATACAGTGGCATAAGGCCAACTTTTTTAATTGGGGTTATGTCACTTATTTTAAGGTGTCATAACCCCAATTGGGATAATGTCAATTTTGAGCCTAAAGCATATTTTCCAGCTCTCAAGAAAAAAAAAACACATAAAAACACGCTCAAGAAATAAAAAAGAATTTTTCTATTAAACTTTTTACTGCGCAAAAATACTTCCGCCCCTTTTTTCCGGCAACACAGAAAGCAGAATTCTACTTATTTAGGCCGAAGGCCGCCTACGCAGAATGAAATTCTGCTCAAAAATACTTCCACCGCCCTTTTAAGGCAGCACAGTTCTTACATTATTAACTTTTATTATTCGGAGTTTAGGTTCGCCAAGGATGATTAAAATATTATTTAAAAAATTAAATTTAATTGAGTTCACACATAATATGTTCATAACCAAATGCGATTACCGATGCGAGTAGGTATCGATACTTTAGATCCGATATGTTTCGTGTATCGATACTTTCGTTCGATACTACTTCCAAGTAAAGGTATCGTTACATCCCTGGTAGTGACATATGCTACTTGGGGTTATGTCACGGCACATAGACGTCTACCTTATCAACCAATTTTGCACGCGAGTCAATCTTCCCTTGAAGGATCCAGAATCCGTATAAACTTCTTAAAATTACGGACTGCACGTAGTTCGAATTAAGTTGTTGTAACAGCATACCCAAAGTGCTTTCGGAATGATGCTGGAATAATGGTGCCCTCTCCTGTTTGAAGTCGTTTTGAACAAAAAATTGCAATTTTGACCCAAAAATGCGACATTTTACACACTGTACAAAAATAATTGCGATGAAACGAAGAAAAATCCTATTAGAATTTGACTACCACGCCACGTGGCCACGGGCTGATACTGAAGTTCAGGCATAGGTTCCTAATATGGCTGCCCCTCTGAGTTGGAATAAATATTAACCCCTTTTGTTTTAAAGATGGCACAATTCTCTGACTCCCACAAAAATAGAAATGGTCAGTTTTTCGAAATTTAATGTGCTATGGAGCCAGACGAAGATTTTAAATTTGATGTAGCATTTAATATGCCAACGCGTGCGTAAAAGAAAGGCCTTTAAAATAGGAGAACAAAAAACTTATTAGCCCAACGGATAGAATACCATATTTCTACATTGGAAGTGAGTGCGTTTTACTTAAATGCTTCACATAACATACTTAGCTAAACTGACAATACGTTGTTAGAATTCGCAACTCGAACAAGCCCTGTACTATAACATATAGCTCCCATACAACTGATTGTTTAGATACGAGATTTTTCGTTATAATTTCTCTATTTATGCAGCTAGGAAGATGGAATTTTGCAATACTTCCACCCATTATCAACAGAAAACTTAGAAAGAAAATTACTAAGATCGGGTCACTATAACCTATAGCTCCTATAGAACTGATTGTGCAGATATACGATTTTTCGTTATAACTCCTCCATTTAAGTAGCTAGGAACATAAAATTTTGCACCGTTGACACTCAAAAGAATACTTTCAGTGAAAATGGCGAAGATCGGGTCGCTATAACCCATAGCCTCGACACAACTGATTGTTCAGGTATGAGATTTTTTGCCATAACTTCTTCATTTATGTAGCTAGGAACATATAAATTCGCACTGTTTTCACTCATTATCAATAGAAAGTTTACAGTAAAATTATGAAAGATCGGGTGACTATAACATATTTATTGCCTCCATATAAATGATTGTTCAGATGTGGGGGTTTACTGTAAAACTCATTTATTTGGACATCTAAAACCGATAAATTTCGAAAGGTATTTTATAAATAACTAGCAGACCCGACGAACTTCGTCCCGCTCAAAATTATTTTTTTTCTAGAAACATTTGGTCCAACGTTTTCGCTAGCAATTCACGTTCACATTTGGTTTTGTGGTCGACCAGCGGGTACCGAGTTGTATACTTTCAGAGCTGGAGCGTCGGTGTCCATTCGAACGACATGGCCAAGCCAGCGGAGCCGCTGTATTTTAATTCGCTGCACTATGTCCATGTCGTTGTAAAGCTCATATAGCTCATGTTTCCATCGTCTGCGGTACTCGTCGTTGCCAAACCGTTAATCTTCCGCAAAATCTTTCTCTCGAATACTCCAAGATCCGCCTCAAAGGATGTTGTCATTGTTCATGCTTCTGCGCCATATACCAGCACGGGCATGATGAGTGACTTATAGAGTGTGGTTTTCGTACGTCGAGAGAGGACTTTGAACCTGCATTGCCTACTCAGTCCAAAGTAGCACTTATTGGCAAGAGTGATTCTGCATATTATTATCGGTGTTAATGCTGGTTCCCAAGTAAATGAAATTTTCTACTTTTTCAAAATTATAACTGTCAACAGTTACGTGGGTGCCAAGGCGCGAATGTGCTGACTGTTTGTTTGATGACAGGAGATACTTCGTCTTGTCCTCGTTTAATACCAGACCCATTCGATTTGCTTCCTTATCCAACTTGGAAAAGGCAGAACAGACTTCGCGGTTTTTGTTACCGATGATGTCGATGTCATCGGCATAAGCCAGAAATTCTACGCTCTTGTAGTAAATTGTTCCTGAGCGGTTCAGTTCTGCAGTTCGCGAGATCACCTCTTATAAAAAGAAGGAGATTTCTTTATATAATTGGTGTGAGTAACACAGGGCAACACCGATTTTGATGCGGATAATGTTAAAGAAGTTTTTGATAGTGCTGATTACGAATCCGTAAGCATAAAGTTTCCATCAGCTCCAGATTTTGAGAAAAACGTGGTGAAATTGTCAAAAAATCGCGTTTTTTACAATATTTTATAACCTCTTGCCAGGAAACAAAAGGTGATAGAACCTTCCACTTAGGCTCATTTACGTTTTATTGTTTATTCATGTATAATCTTTACTACTTGCTTTAGTTAGGATTAGACATGGGTTAGCCAAGGATTAGGGACATGAGTCTCTTAACAGTAATAAAGGATTTGATTTTTTGAATTTTGAGTTGTGTCTTTATTGCAGAGGACCATCGATATGTGAATTCATATATTTCGATAATGAAATAAATTCGAGCATAAATACGATTTTTTGTTACATATACATATGTAACTCAATTTCAGCGCCACCTGGCGGCA